GTGTGTGTGTATAAGGTGGGGAGGGGTTCGTATGTGAGAGTAATCAATTTATGTGATTAATCAAGTTAGTTTTAAGATAAGGGGGGATAACTTTCTTCTTCTTCTTCCTCGTTCTCGATGACAGCAGCTAGACAGTCAGTCCGATGTCGCGTACAAACTGTGTAGTTCGCTTTAACTCTGAAAGACTGCCATAGAGTTTTCTCTAAGGGGAGCCACATTCTGCCACGTCTGTGAGCGAAGGGTGGCGTAGCGCGGACAGTGCTGAAGGATATGGTTGGCATCCTCTTGGTCGTGTCCACATTCACAAATCGCTGTTTCTCCCACTTTTAATTTGGTGTGCATATGGTGTTTGAGTCTGTTGTGGCCACAACGGAGTCTAAAGATTGTGACTTGGTCTGCTCTAATTAGTATGTAGTAGGGGTCATGTTTGTTGTGCTTAGGGTGGGACCTTTTCCATCTGTTTCTTAAAGCAGTTTTTATTAGTGTTTTTGACTCTGAGAGATCCATACCATCTTTAATCTGGGTGATTTTGGCTCCTTCTTTGGCTAAGTCGTCTGCTTTTTCATTTCCACGAGTGCCACAGTGACCTGGTATCCACTGCAGAGTTGTGTTGGCTTGGGAGTTTAGATCACATAGGAGTGAAAGGAGTTGTCGTACTTGAGCTGTTTGTGGCTTTTGGAGAGCTTTGTAGTTGGAGGATAGAGATCCTGTGGGAATGGAATGGCTTTCTGTTGTCCCATCTATCCACTCTATATAGATACCTCCACCGTCGTTTCTGACTGCATCAGTTGCTAATCCATCTGTGTAAACTCGATTACATCGGTTGCTTGGGAAGTTTCTCTCCAGTTAGTCGAGCGTCAGTGACTTGAGTATTGGAGGAGAGACTTCGGATCTGGTGCCAAGCTTTTCTAGGTTTTCTCGAATTTGAAGGGGGCATTTAGTCTGAAGGGGGTGGACTTGACACGGGTCTAGTGGGGTTGGAGATTCTTCAACAGAGATTTCGAGTCCAGAGCTGGAGTGTCTGGCCATATGGAGGAAGCTTGTTCTTTTTAAGCGTTTGCTCTGGCTTTTTGAAGATCTATCCTTCATTGTATGGGTTGGCATTCTTTTGACCTTTTCCTGATGAACAAACGCTTTCAGATCACGTCTGTCGTTCAGGGGTTCTAGCCCCGTTAGTGTTTCCATGACATGAATGGGCGTGGATCTCATTGCTCCCGTGATGATCCGCAGATTTTGATTCTGGATTCTCGCTACTTTGTGGAAATTGCTGTCTGATGCTGTTCCCCACGTTGTGATACCATATTCTAGGACTGGGCGGACATATCCAACATAGGCTCCACGTAAGACGGTGTGGTTTGCTCCCCAATCTGACCCTGCCAACTTTCTAAGCAGTGCTGTTCTTCTGTTGCCTTTACTTCTGCACCTCTCTTTTTGGGCTTGCCATGTTAGTCTTGGATCAAACGTCACACCCAAATAGGTTGGATTTGACTCGTGTTGTAGAGTGTTTCCATCTAGATGCAAGTTTACCTTTCGGGGTTTTGGTGAGAGGCTGAATGTTGTGTACGTGGTCTTGTTCTTGTTGATCTTCTGTCCCCACTCTTCTGTCCACTTCATCATGTTGTTAAGTGTGCTTTGGAGTCGTACCTGGGCTGTTCCTACTGATTCTGTCGAGCATAAAAGAGCGATGTCATCTGCGTACTCCGCTGCTGTCACTTTCTTGGTGATGGTGGTTGAAACGTCGTCGAGAAAAATCAGGAACAGGGTCGCTGATAAAACTCCACCTTGTGGGACTCCATTACTGATTGTCTCCATTTTGCTTCTTTCTCCTTGCAGTTTCACACAGGCTCTTCTTTGAGATAGCTATTGTGAGATCCATTTCAGCATGTTGTGAGAGAGTGGGATAACAAATTGTGCTGTCATTGCGGTGTTTATCCTTTCCCTCCTCAGCCGGAGACTTATAACGGTGACCAACGGCATTCCGATGTTCTCTCCAGCACCAATGTATTGTTGCGTCCACTGTCATCAGAACTTTGTGGTGAGTTAAGAATCAAAAAGGATACCGCACCTAGTGGTAATAATTTTTTACAGTTTTCTTATGAGCGCACAGAGATCAGATTACTTAAACACACAGGCATACACACACAGACATACACTCGCGCACGTGCGCGCGCACGTGGGCACACACACACACACACACCAATGCACCCACAGAGGTCTTAGTATTGACGAATATCGGATTTCAAAAAAGAAACAAACAAACAAACACAAAACCACGTAGATATTCGTCCACGGGGTCCTTGAGACATAGCCTAACTTCTTATCCGGCAAAAATTTCCATTTGAATATAAGTTAAGTTCACCTGGAGCTGCACATGTAATTAAATTGGTCGTTACTCGATGTTTCACTGCGCCTGGTAATCGCGCAAGACAAATCTAGATGAAGTAAGACTGGTAACAGTTTGTCTCTCACTAGTCTCTACCACTCTCGCACTAGTCAAGATGGCAGTCGGTGCTATCCCGCTATACCGCCATCACCGCTGTACCGCCAATTTCATGCTCGTCCAAGGGTATTAGGCAGTATAACGGGGTTTGACTGTATTATGTAAAAAGGGAGAACGTGTTACTGTTTGTTCATGACCTATATCAACTCATTTCACCGCGTCAGATATAAAGTACACTTGTTGATGTATAAGCTCTTTGCCGTTGCAAGCAGATAACTTCAACCCTCGAATACATAATAATGATTTATTCTTCAACTTTTTTGCAAGGGGCTTTCATCCGCCTCAACCCTGGTAGGTTCTGACAAACATCAAGGAAACAGCCCACTGCCTTCCAAAAATGGTGTAATAATAATATGATTAATTGGAACCCCAAAACACGAACGATAACAGCTTTCTGCTGACTTCATTTTGACAATACAATGTGTTATTTGTTATTATTATTTTTTGTTGGTTTTGTTTGTTTTCAGTACAGGGGCAGAACACCGTTGGCCCGATGTCCCTACTGCAGCAGAGTGTAAGTTCTCCTCTGTTACTCTGCCGTCATTTAAAAAAACCTCAGTGCATTATGCAGTTTTTACAGTTTCACAGTAGATTTTTTTTAAAATAATAATTAAAAAAAAAAAAAACAATACAAAAAAAGACAAAAAATACCGAAATATTTTTACCATTAAAACAATATTTGCGTTAAAGATTATAATGTCTTTAAAAGGTTATCAAAATTTATTCCAAAAAGATATTTACCTGGGATGTTTACAAAGAGTGTGTTTGCTTGGTAACAATAGTAAATTATTTATTTATTAACCTTTTTTTTAGGAAGGCGGGGTTGTGGCTCTCTTGTAAAATTGTAAAGACTGCATATTAACAGTGGCGGTGGGTAGTGAAGGGCTCACGGGCTTGAGCCCCTACCCCCTCCCCACCCACCACCCCCCACTCTATCCCAAAGTACATGAAAGTTTATCCATATTGAAATAAGCTGTTGAAACCGTTATGACCGCACGCAATGAACACAGACTGATCAACTTGGCGCCTTGCTCGTTTATCCAATCACTGTTGTCGCCGCTTACAACTATAGTAACCTAACAGCCAATCAAATGTCTTTAGGGCTCAGCAATGGATGAGCCCTTTCTCACGGTCCGTCCTTAATGAAACTCTTCTTGTAAAAAGGTAGAAGACTGGGGGAAAATAACACTGTACCGGGGGCTCATGGTCTCCTAGCCCTGACAATGGGGTGAAAATTTACGATACACTTCCCCCCACTGACAAAGATACCTGTGCGCTCATTGGTTCTTTGTTGGGTGCGTTCAACTTTCTCGACTACACGGCCTAATCCAGCTCATAGAAGTATTATGTTTGAAGTGCTGTGTGTGCATGTTTGTGTTTGTGTCGCTGAGATTTACAGTTAATAGTCAGGTCGAATTACTTTTAAGGCAACTTTTTCATAACTTGAAAATTAATTAGAGGAAATTTGGAAGTGAATCGGCTTCGTCCCCACCATCAACAAGAATTTAACTAAGAACAAAGAGCCCACCGTGAGTATATAAAAATCATCACTGCTTAATTCTTATTGCTTGCTATTTAGTGGTAAAGAACTGGAAGCAACCTAAGCCCCACCCAAATTTTGGCCCATCCACCGCCACTGCATTTTATACTTTTTTAAATTACGGCAATATTGTGCTATTAGGTCAGTGTGCCAGACAGACACGTGGTATTGTTCTTTTGTGGGATTTGCTTGCTGTTGTTGGGTTTTTTTGGGTTTTTTGTTCTGTTTTGTTGCTTTTTGTCCTATGGATTTGGGTTGAGGGTGAGGGTGACATTAGAAAGGTAAAAAAAATGAGAGAATAAATAGTTATTTGAGCGTTTATGCTTAATATCATGATATAAAGAGCGGGGCAAATGCTGTTCATTATGTTTTTCTAAATTTTAATTAGTACTTGCCTTGAGGTATTCCTTCCAAGACTGTAAAATAACTCAATCTTTCTTCATCAAAGATGTATTATGTTGTTTTTTGTTGTTGTTGGTTTCTTTGTTGTATACTGTTTCAAGAACATATGGCACCCGTCTTGTCTTTTAAATTGGATATGAGACAGAAATAGAGTCATCAGTTTTATTAATTCGTCATGCATCAGCTTTCTTTTACAGGTGAGTATTGGCTTATACAGTCTGCTCAACATTTTCGTAGGCCATGACGATGAATTAACAATTTCATCAAGATAAACATTTTGCAGCAGTGTTTAGACAATGCGCGGCAGTAACTTCTGTATTAAGATAAATGTATGTTTTGCAGCCAATAAATGATATTTGATTTTTTGGGTCCATGTTGTACATCTACTGTAGCAAATGCAGTCTGTTATATACATAGAGAAATTGGCAGGACGTGGAAACATTTTTTGTTATGTACGAATTTCTCTATTAAAGTGTTGAAGATACAAAGAATAATATAATGTAAGAAGGAAAAAAATTGGGACCTGCAAATTTGTTCTTTATGTGCGCTTTTCGCTATGTGCGTGTTTCGCTATGAAGGTGTTCCGCTATGTGCATATTCACTGTGAGAGTGCCAGTGTTTTGCAATGTTCGTATTCGTTATGATAATGCTAGACTGTAATTCGATTAATTTGCTGATCTTTTCAGATCTGCAGTTGGCGGTCAAGGTAGACGCAAGGGTCTTGTCTACTTGGTACTGGGGATTATTCTTCTGGCTGTGGCAACAGGCATCACGGTAAGCAGTGGCGGACTGTGCGTTATCTCTTGTGTTTTGTCAGACATCGTTGATGAAGATCTTTTACTTTTAGTTCATCTTAAGTACGAGTTTTACAGCACTTCCAACACAATAAGGTCATCAAAGTGCCCAAGATTAAAGGTGTTACAAGAGAGCAACGAGCGCAAAAAAAGAAGGAGGAGAAGACAAGGCGATAGATGTTTGATAGGAAATTAATTAATACTAGTAAAAGTACACTCGTTCTACGAACGGAATAATAATGAAGAAGTATTAGGAAAGTTCCGAAGAGGAAAAAGACTGAAAACAGGAAAGAAACAAAACATAAATATTTTACCTTGAATTTATCCATGTAGCACCCCCTCTTGACTACCTGTAGGGGTAAGACTTCTTCCCCCTCTTCGAAGGCGTGGCATTTTATACTAAAGTTCCAGCTCTATCATTTTAAAAAAAAATTTTAGGCCTACATGCCAATTGTTGCTTCCTAGAAGAACCTGATCTAGATTCCAGATCTAGAATCTAGCCTAGATCTCGAAGGATTATAAAGACATAGGCCTATAATTGAAAGAAGGAGCATAGGCCCACAGATAGATCTAAGTTTAGAAATTCACATTTTTAACAACCGACAGGCGTCACAGAATGCCTAGATTTCTAGATGTATTCACAGCAGGAAAAATTCACTTTCAAGAATACTTTCATGATTCTTGACCTCGATCTAGATTCACCAACAGCCTAGTTCTAGACTCTAGATCTATTCACAGCAGGTAAAGATCCACGTTCAATACTCTCATCATTCTTGATCTCGATCTAAGATTAACATAGATTTAGATTTAGCCAAGATCTAGATCTAGATCTTAGAATCTATAATGCACAGTAAGAAAAATCCACTTTCAATATATTCAATAGGTTATCGAAACATCACAGATCTAGATTCTACTTTCATTTCATGATTTTTCTTGATCTTGATCTAGATCTCGATTCTAGATCTCATCTAGACACTGTGCACACAATACACTTGTCCTTCGGCATGCGCGCTAAATCCACTGCAGGAGAAATCTACTTTCAATACTTTCATGGTCTTTTTAATCTTGATCTAGATCTAGATAATAGATCTAGACATACAACTACACGCAGGGCGTAAACCGGGCTACGATTGGCTGAACCTTTGACTTTGACCCATGAATACATCAAGTAGACCTACGGTAGTCTACTCTTGGCGTTTTCGACGACACCCTCCCTGTAACTCTCACCACCCTCCCTGTCATTCTCACCACCCTCCTCCTGCAGTGCTATCTGGCCTCCTCTATCTCTTCATTTCTCTCTCTCTCTCTCTCTCTCTCTCTCTCTCTCTCTCTCT